TTGAGTGACTGGACCATAATTTATTAAAGCCTTGATGTTACATAATTTGAGTGGTTTCCATTTTTATGTAGTATAAATTACACTGGGATAAACATTGTCAGGCATATGGCATTTTTTAATATTTTGGATTATTTCCTTAGGAAAGATTCCCAAAAGTAGAATTACTAGGTTAAAGGGTATGAACATTTTTATGACTCTTGGAACACATTGCCAAATTGCTTTCCAGAAATAAGTTATAGCAATTTACATTGCCACCATCAATATACACAAGTGCCCTTTTCATAATATTCTCACAGGTATTTGGCATACAGTTTTATTTTTTTCATATAGTTTTAGATTTGCAAATTTCATATAGTTTTAGATTTGTAAATTTTATGTACAAGAATGTAGTACCTCCTTTAAGCAGTATATAGTTTAATCATCTCAAATTTCTAACATGTCCTTTAACTGTCTCTGATGATTTGATATTTTTGTAAGTCTGTACAGAATTATATCTCTCTATATAAAAAGCCAGCGGCCGGAACGCCAGCTCAGGTGGCCGGTTTTCCATACATGACACAAGGAAGGAAAGCACTGATGTCAAGCAGTGCATTGGACTCAGGGGGTCTAGAGACACTGACACTAACAATGGCAAACATGGCTTCTTAGATTAAGCCTGGACCAAGAAATAACTTCCTCGTAAACCAGAGAACAAAAGGACACAAGCAACTGGGTAGCATCTGAAACAGCCTGAAAAAAGAAAAGGGTAAAATGAAGAGATATTGAGAAAAGTTATTGAGCGAAGGAAACAAACAAAAGCTCTCTGAAATCAACAAATCAAATTAGTAAGTGTTTATTCTACATGCATTATGTGTGAGTTATGTTGCTGGCCATGTGGTGGGTGATGGAAGAGTTCTGTAGCCTCACTGTAGCTTATAAAATCACTGAATTCAGAAGCTTTTAGGTAACTCAAATGACAGGATCCTGCAGAATTCTTGGTTACACACACACACGTGTGTACATAAATATCACTGAGGCCCAGTGAAGGCTCAGTGAAAGCACCTCCCAAATTAGGGAGGTCTAAAGGATTCCGGAACCTTCCTTGTCTGTCCTTATGACAGGTGCCTTTAGGTCACATTTGGGCGGGGGGAGAAAGGAGGTAATTGTGGCAGTATCTATTGCAGTTGGATAAAGTATCTTTCCCTTACCTTTAACTCTCTCCGAGTTGTGAGTTAGAAGCTGGCAGGACTCATACCAGTAGAAAAAATAGGAGACTGAGAGGAAACAATCTTCTTGTGGTAGTTGGTGTGGTACTGCTTTGTGCTACTGTTTTGAGGAGCCGGATGGGAAATTTTTTATTGCACACTTTATGGCATACTTTGCATCAAGTCAAATTTGTACACCCTCAGAAGTGCTTATAAAACATGATCCTGCTTGGCCAGAGTGGCTCAGTTGGTTGAGTGTCGTCCTCTGCACCGCAAGGTTGTGGGTTTGATTCCTGGTCAGGGCACATGCCTGGGTTGTGGGTTCGATCCCTGGTCAGGGCACATATGGAAGTCAGCTGATTGATGTTCCTCTCTTTCTCCCTCTCTCCAAGCGTGTCCTCAGAAGATGATTAAAAAAACCAAACATGATCCCTAATTTCAAGGGTAGACATGGCAAAGACATGAAAGAGAGAAAATGATTATACAAAACAGAGTGTCCTGTGAAGAAGAACTTCATGTTAGAAACAATGTATAACTTATAAGTTGCTTCTGGTCAAGATGATGATGTCATGTTACCTTAGAGCGAGCTGTGAGCTGGATGACCCTTTGAGTCAGGTGAATAAAGGTAGTTGGGCAGCTAATATTGTGGGGGTAGGCCACTACTTTCCCTAACCTTATGGAGCCATTTAGTCTCTTTATGGTGACTGTAACTATATGGTAAGTACTGTTGAACAACTATTATGTCCCAAGTACTTTGCCAAGAACATTATCTATAGTATCACCTATTGATCCCTCTGGCCCAGTTCATTGTTAGTTTTCTTGACCCACACCCCATGACCTTAAGCTGAATTAATAATTCCATGACTAATTATTAATTAATGACAATGCTCCACTAATTCTGTTCACTCCTTTCATAGAGCACTTCTCATTCTATAGCCTACATTTCTGGCTGTCCCACTGCCACTGAGCTGGCAGGGAGCCGCACCCATATCTCACTTCAATTTCCCAGTGTTTGGTAGTTCCTAAGTACTCTGTTGAATGAATGTTGAGTAGAAGTCTGCGACTTCAAACTCATTGAAGAATCATGGAACTTTTGAGCAAGAGAGGATTTAGAACCTTTGCTACAATCGCTTTACACATGTGAAAAATTAAGTTGGAACAAGTAACTTCCTCGAGGCCACATAAACTTGGTAGGATGAGATTAGAATCCAGTTTCATAGCTTTTCAGCTCAGTACAGTTTCTTCTATAGAAGATGCTATCAAAACTCAGCGAAATCTCCTGGCCCCACCCAAATCCTATCAGCAAGTGGCCTTTGGGCCTTCAGGCTCTTTCTGTGATATAAAATTTCCTAAAAGAATCCACTTTTACATATAGCTTTCCTTTCACAGTTCCCCATTCCAAAGTCCAAACTCAAAATTGGCTGGCTGTTACTGTAGCATCACAGTGTAAAAGTTGGGGTGGGGGGGGGCATTCTGTCTATATTTTCACTAACAAGTTCTTTCCACAAGCTCCCTTTGATTCAGCCAAATCAAATGCTTAACAAGCACACCATACTCTTTCTTCCCCATTTCTTGAGATATGCTGTTCATTCTGACTGGAGGAGCCTTTCTCCTTATCAACCCGGTGAACTTGAAGAAATTGCTCCCTTTCTGGACTGGGAACTCCTAGCACAGAATGGAGACCTGGCTTTAGTCACACAGTGATTGAGTGAGTGCATTTTGTGTGTCTAGCACCTATCGGCATAGCCCTCAACAAAGTTCACTGAATGACTGGATCTTTGGAAAATTACAGAAATGTAACTTACTCTTCAGAATTGTAAGCAACCCTCTACCAAAAATTTTGTTTGGGGGAAAAAGAATATGTTGGCTCACTGTTTTTTTGTTGTTTTGTTTTGTTTTTCTTTAACTCTAGCTCATCTGTTATGACTGCCATTCTCACTCCCTCTGTGAACTCCACATTCTCCCAGCACCTCTGCCCCTGGACACTTGTGGGAGAGGAATCCACACATTCCTGTGGGGCTCCATCACTGGAGCAAGTTCTCAGTAGTTGGGGAAGTCTGGGCTGCAAACAGGAAGTGTCTGTACTTCTGACTAGTCTGTGCCTGGGGCAAAACCGGCAGAGTCCACCTGTGTGGACATTCTGACCAAGTATCAGTCGGGCTTCTCTTTCCAGAACTGGCATCTCGCATGCCTGTCAGAACAGTCCCGCAGCAATGGTCAGGTTGGGAGCCCCTCACGCCTCTCCTTCACTCTAAACAATCTTGAACGGGACATTTAAAAAAATTGTTTTGGAATTTTGAGTTTGCAAAGCATCCGAACGACTGTCCCCTTTTGACAGACTGAGGGCCAAAGAGCAGCAGAGGCAGGTCCCATAATCTAGAATCCTTTTTTCCTCCCCCAATGCCCGAGACCTCATCTGGCCCCTCTAGCTCCCAGGAGGGGCCAGAGGCAGCGTTCCTGCACCTGCCTGCCTCAAGGACACCTTAGCCTCCAGCCTTCCAGGGGGGCTGCAGCCTCCCCACCATGCGCCCGGGGCCCTGGCCCAGGAGTGGGGGGGTCCTAGGATCCACGCTGGGGCTGTGGCCAATCCTGGGGATGACTTCGGACCCCCGCCCCAAGGCACCCGGGCTGCAGGCTGCGGGGCGGGTAGTCCAATGGGCAGCCTCGCC